TGTGCACGTTACACGGTTATTAAAGCTTCCCACAGAGTCGCTTAAAACTTTTTTCCCCCTCCCTCCCGTTATAATTAATAAATTAATTTAACTACCGCCTCGCTGGAATGCGCTAAAATATAACTTCAACGCTCTCCGATACTATTATAAACTCCAACTCTAACTGTGTTGCTCTTATCCGTTATTCCGTACCCTAAACTCTCTAATACTCGTAGTCTGTACTCGCTAAGCCCTCTTAAACTTCTCTCAAACGGAATTCTCTCATTGACTCCGCGGGATTGCTCCAATCTCTCTGTGTTCTCGTCCTGGAGGACTCACACTTGTACGCGTATAGAGATATTATTAAATAAATATTTATTTCTTGACGTTTCGATCACGGTTTCTTAGAGCTCTCACATATCTTCGCTTCGATTTGGTTAACATTGAAAGAGAGTTTATGTCGATACATTTCTTGATCCCGGGTTGTCAGAGGCTTGGGCTCAAACTGACAGAGGTTATCCTTTCTATTAGCTCACTTTATCCATCAGACACGAACACTGAAACAACAATAAGATTTGTCCCTTTTGCAAGCAGATGAACAAATCTGACATTGAGAAATTAGATTGTTCGTGTTCAACGCAAGGCGTATAAAATATAGATAGAAAACGATGTTGTTGAACTTCCTGTTGCTGCTCGCCTCTAGGTTTGCACGGAAATTACGATCGTAATCACGAATAACTTAATTTTCAGGAAGAACAGCTCGAGCAGCATTCCCTTCTAAAACTTGCAACGCATTGACTCTAATCCTACAGAGATGCGACTTTGAGACTTTAGCTCAGAGACCCGATTAAGTAATTGTAGGGTTCGTAAGCAAATGTTCTAATTTTCTGTATTCTAAGTTAATTTATTTAAAGACCCTGCAGTTATTCAAACTTGGTACTCAAAGTCGCGTCGCGAGTAAGATTAAAACTTATGGTGGCGTATAAAGTCGAGGAGGATCGTTGCGTGAGTTAAAACGGGCTGCAGTTAACACGATTGAGTGACGAGTGAAGAGGTTGATTGATTTCCTGACTACGGAGTTGTTTACGTATACTCTATTCGGCCGTAGCAATTTTGCTCGATTTGTTTAGCCAGGTTTTGGACGCTTTTTTGGGTCACCCCTTTTGGGAGCACTGACCAGAATTCTATTGAGAGCCGGAAACACGGCGGTAAAACAACCACGACCGAGCCGTTCTTGGACCGTTGGTGCATAAATCTAGATAGTCAAGTACACACGGTGTTTACCTACAGGTGGCCGATCTTTTAGGGGATGATTCTACGCAACAGAATAAAAGGAAAATCAAGAATCACGAAATTGCTGTTTGAGATGCTTAAATTGCTTGTACCGTACCAACAATTATTTAAAGCTGCGCAAGATTCTCCACCGTAATTGCTATAGACACTAATTTCCACCCGTTTTGTCTATTGAAATGATGGAAGCAAAATAATGTTTTCCAAAGAGAGAGGTGTGAAGAAAAGGGGTGGTGTTTTACAATATAAAGACAGCAAAATTTAATAGGAAATACAAAACTTCAAAACCTACTTGACCAATTGTACATACATAAATATAAAATATAACAGTCTAAATTCGAATTATTTCAAAATTCATATTTAAAAAAAAATAATAAAAAAAGGGGCTAAGAATTAATGTTTATTATAGTGTTTGATTCAAGCAAAATTTTATAGAATTTTCTAAAGAGAGAGGTGTAACTTTTAGGAAGATGGAGGGGGGAGGGTTTAGAATATAAGGAGACCACAACTTAATAGGGAATACAAAACATTAAAACCTACTTGACCAATTGTACATAAATATAAAATATAACAGTGTAAATTCGAATTATTTCAAAATTCATATTTAAAAAAAAAAAGATAATAAAAAAAGAGGCGAGGAATAAAGTGTTTGACCCACTAGCGGAGGTTGCGCGCCACTGGTTCGAAGTCATAAGTTCCACGTCGCTCAATTACCCAAACTCGAGCGTTCACCCCGTTTACGAGCGCTCGGGACTATCCCGTTCGAGACCCTTTCGAACGTCGGCCGAAAAGTGTCGAACGCAGTGTCGTACCCTTGCCAATTCCCAATTCGTATAAACGACTTCTACAATCGGATGAGCACCGACGAATGCTCCTGTCCCTCCCTCCTACGTCCGCATACTCTTTTTACCCCGTCGACTGGAAAGCGGAGGCTTTATTGCGGCCGCGTTTGTAGGCACGCGGATGAAAAAGCATAACGCGAATAATCGCGAAAGAGATGAACGGAGGGGTGAGGGGAAAATGGAGGATCGCGGTGCACGAGTAGGTACGTGCACCAGATACGGCCTCTGGAAGGTGCCTCCGCGGAGGAGAAACACGGTTGCCAGGGGTCAGGGGGTCGGGGGGAGGAGTGGAGTCGTAAAACGTAGTTGCAAGAAGCGGCATAGCGGCGGGAGTCGCGAGCGATAGGGCGAAGAGTTCGCTTTGAGGGCGAAGGAGAGGGTTGAAGGGAAGAATCAAGAGGGGGAGTCCCGCCACAAAGTAGGCGCACACCGCTTTATCCTCGACTATATAAAGTCTGAGACACCTCTCTTCGGTGCAGCACACCCCTTATACACTGTCCCTTTCCTTTTTCTTTCGGTCGCTACTTTTTTTCTTCGCCCCTCCTCTCCTTTCTTTCGTTCCACCGTTTGTCTCTTTATCTTCCCTCTTTTGCTCGACCAGCCACGTGTCGGCCCTTTGTTTCTCCTTTCTTTTCAGCGCGTCGTTCCCTCGCTTTTCTTCATCCTTATAACCCATTTTCCACCCCTTTCTGCGTCGGGTCCAATTGTCCCCGGGTTTACTTCGTAGATTTACTTCGACCCCTACCCCCTTTCCTTTTCTCGTCTTTTTTTTTATCCTCCATCTTCCCGTGTCTTTCTCGCTCTTCGTGTTCCTTTCCGCCTTCGAAAGAGCCTTCTCTGTTTCTTCGCTTCTTCGCCTTTATCGGCCCCCCTCGCCTGCCCCGTGACAAGTTCTTCCATTGAGACGCGCTGCTCGCTGCGTCGATACACCCACGCATCTATATCTGGCGCATAAATCTACCCGGCGTGGGAGGTTGGTGTATATGGGCAAAATCCATTCATGGGCGCAGGTACGCGGAAAGGCGACGATCAAGCGTTTTATAATGCAGTAAAACGAGTTTGGTTTGTGGCGGTTTGCAGTTGTACGAAGATGTCAGATAGTGGGAGGAATAATAAGGGGAGGGGAGAGCGTTTCGTCATGGGCCTGATAGTGGACTCATCGCGGTAAGGCAACCCTAACAGGCCCAACCTCAGACGCAGGAACATTCAATGGTCAGTCGAGGAGTGTATGCATACGAATAGGTAGTTGCTCGAGTGCTTGTGAGAGGGATAAGCGTTGGCGTGCCTCTCTGGTGGCGAGTGCAGGAAGTGTGGCGCCACAGGTCCAAACTTCCAGGATTCTAGTGTTGCTAATTGTTTCCTATGAATGATTTACGTGACAGAAAAATTCTTAGTGCTTTTTTTCGAACAATATGCCTACCGTATTCATTCTCATTAAGTATCTTACGTATTCTATTTACAAAATGCACATACGTATTTCTCAGTCTGATATAATAAATCAGACGGTAATTATGGTGTACTAATTCTAGGATTTTCTGTAATTTTTTTGATACGATAAACCTTTTTATGGACTATTACAAATTGTCAATTATCAGAGCTAGTATTCCTTTCTCTGTGTCTCATTTTCAATATATGCTCATTACAAGTAAACATAACATTATCGACATTCACATAAATCATAAACAACTATTTCAAATACATATATGGTACTTATATATACGGTATTCACGTACTCCAGTCATGTAATAATTGAATAAGAATCCGACTAATTCATATTACAGCCATTATTTGGTGTGTCTATTCACCAAAAATGATTGTAAAATTGACCCTCGCAACCAAAAATAATTTTTCCAGAACGATTTGAAATTTTTTAATTTTATCGAAAAATTTGTCCATTTATCCGAATTTTTTTCTCGAAAGTGCATGGGATTTCGAGAGTATGTGTATTCACCAAAAATGATTATAAGTGACCCCAGCAACTGAAAATAATTTTTCCAAAATGATATGAAACTTTTCGATTTTACCGAAAATATTCCTATCGATTTTTCTTAAAAATTCGTTTTTGATTTTTAATAAATTTGTTTGACACCGTACAGAAATGTTGTCTAATACTTTTTTATAGGTACCCATGAGCTGTACTTCAGAAAAAAATTTCATTGAAATATATTCACTATTGCAGGAGTTATGGCCGTTTGAAAATTAGACCATTTTTATGGGGGATGCCTCACTTTACGGGATTAAAGAACAAGTTTTCGAATATATTTGGAACGTCTACATATTCTGCGCCAAAATACGCTTAGTTTGCATTTTGAAACATTAAAATCGTCCAATCCGTTCAAAAGTTATGATGTTTTAAACATACGCATGAAAATTCGGGGAACCATTTCAGGCCACAGATTATATTTTCGGTAAAGAATTTTTTTTTCGGAAATACGTAGAATTTCGGAGGTATGTTTATTCACCAAAAATTATTGTAATTGACCCCTACAATCAAAAATAATTTTTTTAAAACAATCTGGAATTTTTTAATTTTCCCGAAAAATGTCAGCTCCTACTCTAATTTTTTTCTCGAAAGTGCCTGTATAAGACAATTTATCAAATAATACTATTAAAGTACAACAAATAATCTTTCAGAAATTGAAAAATTCAATTCTTTCACAATTAACTGAAACTGTTGCACTTGCCGTGTCAAGCAGTGGAGGGGGACAGAGAGATTGCTTATAGCGAGACACGAGCGCCGGACTTATAACGGGACAATACCGTACAGCTAACGGCGGTTGCTCGAAAGAGAAATTGTTGGATTTATATGAGAATGTTGGTTACGAGGCACTCGATAGACGTTCGATCGGCGAACTTTCTCAACGTATCCGTTTCGTTTGTGTGTTTCAGGCGAGGTGATTGGCCAGCGGTTCCTGGGAAACGAGAGCCACGTGGAGCACTTCAAGCTCCTGGAGCGCGCGACCACTTCCATCCTGATTGGCGCCAGGTAATTGTTACGTGATTCGATTCTTTCACGGCTGGCGTCGCGGCGCGGCGCGCCTGGGAGGGGTCACCAGATGGTCATTGGGTAGATTCCAGTCGTTCGATCGTGAGTCCCAAGTTCCCGGCGAGTCACTCCCTCGATTACGCAGCACGAGCTCGATGAAGCAGTATCGCAGCCGCCTATGAGGCTGCCTGCAGCCCCTTATGACGTGTCCTCTTTAATTTTACATGAGTCGTATTCCCTTGGATCGATCGAGGCAGCCACTGGGGTATTTGATATGGAATAAATTGGTTTCAATTACCGGGTCGAGAAACCGGCAAGGGGGAAAAAAACGTCTCCCGGTCGTTGCTGTTGTCGTAATTGTCGCAACATTAGCGTTTTATTGCGTTCGTGTATTTCCTTCGTCCCGATACCTTTTTCTAATTTCATGTTGCTCGAGTTTCCAACTATTTTATTATGGCCTTCTATCAATCACAGTAGACGTCCATGTCAGAATTTTTTTTTATCAACTTAGAGTATTTCACTAGCAACTTTTTCAAGTAAAATCTAAAAAGTTGCGGTTGTATTTGTTCACCAGATTTAGGGGTAGTTTTTTAATCAGAAATAATGACTTGAATTAGTAGTTAGAGTTTGGAATATGTTTGCCTCCTTGGATAGAAGACTATGACGTTTTCATAACATATGCAAATGGATATCAGGATGAGTTCAGCAACACATGACTCAGTAATGATAAAGGTCAAACGAGGTTAGGAATCAAAGTCATGAAGAGAATCTGGTATGCAAAGCAGGCTAAAGTGGCGGAGCTTTATTAACTTAATCGTCGTTAAATTCTATTTACGATACGCATTCGATCTCTATCATTATCTTCCGTTTATTATCCTTCGTGACCTATATTATTGCATATATTCTGTAGCTTCTCGATTAAAGAAAGTTCAAGTAACTTCGAGCCTGTTAATTTTTGTTAACATCGCGAAGAAGAAGGGAACGGTTTCAGATAATGCATTATTCATCAAACAACGAACCAGCGATCTATATATTTTGATATATGGCTTTTTCCATATAGAACGCTTCGCGGCTAAGAGAAAATGTAAATCCACCGAGTTGAGAGAAAAATCGTAAATTCTAAATCGTTGCGCCGAGAGAACATGAACTGGATTCCAGTTGACTGTGGTTTATGTTTTCGAATTCTACTCGCGACGAGTTTCGTTCCGATAGTGGATCGTATTTCCCTCCTTTAGACGCTTTTCTTACGACATGTTTCACTTTAGAACCGGAAGTCACACGGGCTCTTTAAACAGCACCCCGTAGAAAGAAACGAAAGATCGAATTCACCGAGCATTGATTTTTCCGTATCGAATTCCAACCTCCGAGCAATTACTACCCTTCTGTTGCGTAATTGTAAAAAAACACAAAGTGAAATAATACGTAACAAAAGTAGAGTCTACGAACTATAATTAAAAAGTTATTTTATTAAAGTTTAATTTTTCTTCTCGTAACGAATATTTTTTTCAACTTTTTTTCATGCTTCTTCCCGTTGCGGTATATTGGCAATATTCAGTTCGATATCGTTCAATCTAGAGTCGCGGAGTGTAGCGTGGTTAACTAAGTAGACCACGATTAGTAGTTGGTAGTTATTACTACGTCGGATAATTGCTCGGTTAACCGATGTAACACTAATAACGAGCTCAACGCTTTGGCCAGTTAATTATCGTGAACCAAAGTTTCAAACATCGTGTAAGAGCCGAGGGAGTTTAAATCGAAATTGTGTTCGTGTTTTCGTAAACAGTTTCATTAAATCAAGTTAGTTTCCAACTTTCTAATGCGAACTTTTCAGATAATTTCTTTATTAAATAACTCAAGTTGTAACTTCTGCTGTCCATTAACTTCAATATTAAAACATGCTTTAACGAAATTATTTAAAGACAATTATCAAATTAAATTCAAACAATTTTCGTAGGAAATGCATATTATTTACTGTATATTGCACGCAATACGATGCAAAAGAAAAAATTCTTAGCAACGTTTGTATAATTGTATAAAAAAAATATACATCGACTGAAAGGAATATTTATTCGCCTGTTTTTACGTTAAAAATTTTTGTCCTCGTTTCTACTATGAAAAACGCTACTGTTGGAATGTTTCGCGGTTGTTAGTTTCTAAACGATTATAGAAATTACAGTTAGTTGGAAGAATTGGTTATTACACGGTTGATTGGATCACGGAAGAAGACTGGCGCACTGCTTTGTCAGGATTAAACAAAGTAATTGCAACGGAGTGCGCATAAACCAAGTTCCCAAGTTATGCTACGTGCGACGTATTAAAGCCGATGTATCGGGCGCAGCTTAATATCCGAGCTAACTTAATACCGAACTTAATTAATTTGGCGCAGAACTTATTATCGAACATGTAGCATTTACATGCTCCTGATAGAAAACTCACGATTCTGAGACTTCTAGCAATCCCATTCCGTATACCGAAGGCACTAATATTTTTATTTTTACATAACGATACTGAAAATAAGTTATTTCAAATACTTACTTTTGATTTTTATCTTAAATTACATTTATCCAGGTCTGATTGCTACTAAAACGGTACAGAAAATAAATTATTTCAAATTGTTACTTTTTATTTTCGTTTCAAATGAAATTTGTCCTGATTAGTTTAAATTATCTCGAAAACGAAACATTATAGGAAAGAGTTTTGTTATTAAGAACTCGGGAAATTTTCGTAGGAAGCAGAAAAGAGGGGTTGGTCGAGCGCTTGTGAGAGCACGACACCTCTGGTGGCGAGCATGGGAGACGACGCCACAGTTTTATTCCATATTTTCAACTTATTTTTCCATAAGGAATAATTATAGTTGCCTTTGCTCTAAGAATCTTACAATACTTAAAATCTCCCTTTAAAAAATTTTGTCAAAATTGTGTAAGAATCACATCTGGTCCTCTATAAAAATTGATTGTTTTCTGTTTGTAAAAATAATGTAGGGTTTTCAATTAACAAATCGTTCGGTTTGTCTCAGTTTTCCGCAGGTGTCTGAACTCGATTACTTGACAGTCTTAGCCGCAGGCATTAGCTTGACGTTACAGAAAGAAAATGCTAATGAATTCACGGCCGTCTGAGTTGGTTTCTCAAGTTTTCTTCGAGCGGTACAAGTCTCGAAAGAGAAGAAAGAGACAGACCCGCGGAGATGGTGAATAACGAAGATTTGAGAATCTTAATTGAAGAAAATCTGCGTCAGACTGGCCCGAGAACTCGCGGTGAAAGCTAGGCATAAATGTTCCGATGGTTCTACGACGTTTGAGGGAAATTAGTTGGAGCTTAAAGACTTGGATGCGAGTAGTTTGCACGCTTAACGCGATTCGAAGGAATTAGCTGTACAGAGTGTATAGTTTGTTCGACAAATTCGAAAAATTCGCGGATCTGCCAGTGATGCGTGATGAGAAATTAGATGCTTCGAGACCAACTTCGATATGGATGAATATTAATCTCTTCCGAGGATTTTGTTCGACGCTTCCCGAGTTTACCAAGAATAAATTTGACACATCGCGAAGTCTATTGGGAATTAAACTTTTTCAAACTTCCGGAAACGGGCTTATCTCGTAGTTTATAAAGTAACGATCCACTGAGAACTCTGAGAAAATAACCACCCAAAGGCTTGTAAAATTATTTTCTCAAAGAACGTAAATTACAAACACTAAACCTACGGAGACTTCATGTATACTCATTTCTACCATGACCGGTGAAATGATCTTTCTTTTTCTCTTTTACGAGGCAACGTATCCTAATTTTTTTCATTATATGTATAGAAAGTTGTGTTTTAAAGTTTATTCGTAAAATATCCTTCTCTTTTATGTCACATATTTTTTTTAAAAAGTGTATTTTAAAAATCTGTAGAAAAGTATGCAATACTTTTACTCGAAATGTGAATACTTAGTATTTTTATACAGAAAGTTTACAAACTACGTCGAAATTTTATTCTAGGTTACAGTTAATAATAAAGTGTCCTATTCTTCAGCATCTTTTACATTTAATTAACGGTAATTGTGTAGTATAACGCTGTAAAGGCAAAATTATATAATGCTATTTAAGAAAGTCAAGCAGATCCGAGCGTTTTATCGAATAAACAAATTTTTCGAAGTTTTTATTATTGCACTTTGTTCTTCTGAAGGTACTCGGTAACTTTTGTTGCAAACAGTTTTTTGTCAGATCAGTGTAAATGCCTAAAAAATCGGTGCGTCCGTTAGGATGAATATAAAACATAAATTAGAATAGTTGTTACATAAATAGGATAGAGGGTAAAATACCCTTTAAAATGAGTGTTCATACAAATCGATAGTGTAATTTTCTGAGATATGACGATTTTTGTTTCTATTCGATTGTGTGGTCAGTTTTGTAGATATAAGGGTTCGAAGCGTTTGTTTACTTTTCACTCTTTACGTCGCTAGGTCATTGACCTCACACAAATAGTAAACATTACGTCACTCGGTCACTCGGTCACGATTCACGTGCGAGAGAGAAAGAGAGGCCCAATGCATTAGATGGAGATAGAGATAGTTAAATTTAAAAAATTACCCCTTTATTAAAACTATGATATCTCCGAAACAAAAAGTCAGATCGATATAAACCAAAAACCATTTCAAAGGGGAAGCTTTGTCGCTTCTAACAGTGACTGAATTATTCGTAAAACACTAGTAATTTCGGAACTGTACATTTGTAAAGTTTAACTATTTTTAATACGCGTTCTGAGACTGTTTTAAAACGGTGTGAAATTGAAGATTCTCTCTTTTCATCTTTGCTATGTATTTCCTATTTACAACGAAAGCTAACCGGAATTTGGTAGCAAATTTTGTTCAGTCTTTTACAAAAAATATAAATCGTTCAACCGATTAGATGACCGATCGTCGTAAGCAAGACAAACTACATACTTTTCTCAGAAAAAGAACAATAAGAATACAAGTGAATATTGAAAAATTAATTAAAAAATAGTCGTGAAGTTAAATGGCGCTAAAATATTAGGCGTACAAATAAGTTTCCGCGGTTTGTCAAAAGATGGCCAAACCAGAAGGTTATGGAGAAATTGTCAGATGTAAAACGTAATATCCCAAGTTTCGTCATCCGGCAACACCATAACCTTAAAGTACTAGTGATTCCGTATCAGCATCACGTAATTTTTTTCCTGCAAAAATGTCAAGTTTTGTGCCGAATAAGCATCATTTGCGGGAACTTTTGATTTACTTCTTTAATTTGAAAAAATCTGCAGCTGAGGCGCATCGATTGCTTCTAGAAGCATATGGTGAAGCTGCTTTAAGTGAGAGAAGTTGTCAGGAATGGTTTCAAAAGTTTAAGAACGGTGAGTTTGACGTGAAGGACAAAGAACGCAGTGAAAGGCCGAAAGTGTACGAAGACATGGAATTAGAAGTATTATTGGAGGAAGATTCGTCCCAAACGCAAAAAGAACTTGCACTTACATTACAAGTGACTCAACAAGCAATTTCACATCGTTTAAAATCGTTGGGAATGATTCAAAAACAAGGAACTTGGGTTCCATATGAACTAAAGCCGAGAGACGTTGAACGCCGATTATGCATGAGTGAAATGCTGCTTGCCAGGAATAAAAAAAAGAGTTTTTTGCATCGTATAGTCACTGGTGACGAAAAATGGATTCACTACGATAATCCAAAGAAGAGAAAGTCATGGGTTAAGCCCGGCGAACCATCAACATCGACAGTTAAGCCGAATATTCATGGAAAAAAACTCATGCTGTGTATTTGGTGGGATCAGCTTGGTGTCGTGTATTATGAATTGCTCAAACCAAGCGAAACCATTACTGGAGCTCTCTACCGAACACAATTGATGAGATTGAGTCGGGCACTTAAGGAAAAACGCGCCCATTACTACTCCAGACACGACAAAATTATTCTTTTACACGATAATGCTCGTCCACATGTTGCGGCGCCGGTAAAAACATACTTGGAAACACTCAACTGGGAAGTTTTACCCCACCCGCCGTATTCACCAGACTTAGCCCCTTCTGATTATCACCTGTTCCGGTCGATGGCACATGGTCTGTCTGAGCAGCGCTTCACATCATATGAAGACACCAAAAATTGGGTAGATTTGTGGATAGCGTCAAAAGATGAAGAGTTTTTTCGACGGGGTATCCGAATGTTGCCAGAAAGATGGGGAAAAGTAGTGGCAAATGATGGAAAATACTTTCAATAAAACGTAATGTACTGTTCCTTCACAATAAATTCCTAACTTTTTATAAAAAACCGAGGAAACTTATTTGTACTTATACTTAAACTTATATGGTAAAAATTCTAAACGAAATTTTAAAACGGTCATTTGCCCGATCGTTGAAAGGTTTAGTTGACGTACGATTTAATTTCAAATAATTTTTCAAACGTATACGATTTAATTTTGTTTAAATTTGTCCGTACAAGGAATAGATTTGTTGTACGAATACCTTGTGAATGTAAAAATCTGTTGATTTTAATATGTAGGGTGTTCGGCCACACCTGGGAAAAATTTTAATGGGAGATTCCAGAAGCCAAAATAAGACGAAAATCAAGAATACCAATTTGTTGATGGAGACTTCGTAAAAAAGTTATTAACGTTTAAAGTTCCGACCATACTGAATTTTTTTCTCTAAAATGCGCAAGATTTCGGGGGTATGTCTATTCACCAAAAATGATTGTAATTGACCCCCACAACCGAAAATAATTTTTCCAGAACGATTTGAAATTTTTGAATTTAATTGTTAATAACTTTTTAACGAAGCCTCCATCAACAAATTGGTATTCTTGATTTTCGTTTTATTTTGTCCTCTAAAATCTTCCCTTAAAAGGGGTTAAGCACATAAATCTATATAAAGATTCCTATTTTATTCTACGTGTAATATTACAAAAATTAAATGACTTCGAGTGCAAAGTCACAGAAAGGACAGTGTTCGTCGAAAGATCGTAGGAAATATTGCTTATTACATTCTTGTAAATTGGATGGAGTACGAATATTGCGTACAATATTATTCTTTTGCTATCGTTGATCTTTTATTCCGTCGCTGAAGTAATCCTGAAGGGAGAGATTGCAGTTTTGCAAATTGGATCGAATCAATGTACTACGTGCATGACTCATTACTTAGTCATGTCGTGGGCCAAGGTTCGCAAGGGACTAAGGGTCGAGGGATCACATTTGGGGAGCCTATACATATCAATGAAAAGTAGGATCAATATCCATTCTGATGTCATTCCTTTTCACGGTTTACTCGTTGTTCGTAATATTCGTAGTGGTATCTTTTCTGCAGCGTTTTCTTTGCGTAAAGGAAACAATGTCTCGTTATCAGTGGAATTCAAAGTCTCTGAATTTTATAGAAATTTAATCAAAGGGCCGTGTAATTCTTCAAAGATGCTTCGATGGAATCTATATTATTACAATTTATACAGAACGTGCAAATTATATTTGAACTTTCGACACAGCGTCAGTATGATAAAACGCTGCTAACCAAAACGATAAACGCATTTTAATAGAAATTGTTCTTGCAAGAACGTCAAAAGTAATACCTTTTTGGTCGTTGGAAAAGTGCTGTTTCGGGAAACAGCTTCAAAGTTCAAAGTTGCCGAGTATGTAAAACGGCTCTCGAGGTCTAAATTTTTCGAATTTTAAGTTGAAACTTTACGGAACGCGTTCTTAATGCTTCAAACTTGGGGAAAATGTAAGAATCGATTCTTTTTTAACAACGTGGAAGTCCTACCCTTTTAAGGAACAGAAGTTTCTCCTTTTATGGGACTTTTGTTTCTTTTCGCGATTATCAAGGAGCGTCGGTTCCATCAGCTTTGTCGCATTTGCCGTAATTACTAATGCTTATCCGGCCTTCCGTTCAGTTTGTTCGCGAGCGAAGGCGGGATGCGGAAAGATTGCCAGAAGGATTTACGAGCAAGATTTAACGTTCTCGTTTCGTTTTTCAGGAACGCCATTTACAACATAAGTCTGCACGACCTAACGGAGATCGTCGACCAGGTGAGTGCCAACGCTAAAAACCTGTACCGCCTATCCGTAAGCTCGATAAAGAATGATCGAGCGATCCAGATTACGTTATTTCCCTTCGAATACTGCGGGAACCGCGGGTATTTTAAACCCACGCACGGTTATCTGAAATCGGGAAAATTCCCGCCGCGAGACAATTCCGATTTTATCGCGCGAGCCTAGCGAGTGTTTTTAATTCTACGGAAGAAATACGATCGTACCCGTCACGACAAAGTCGAGCACAGTGGGGTTAACGTTCGCAGGGATAATATTTATTTACCGCGTGTTATTATTAACGTTCGAGGGGGAAAAAAATTACGGACGCTTCCGTTGGGAATAAATCGAATTCGGAACTCTGGGAACGTGTACGGAACGATTTTAACACAGTAGAACAATTCTCGTACGCCTCTACGATGAAATTCGAATCGCTTGCAATTTTTGATCGTCGAATTTTTGCAACGAACGACGTTTCAAAGTTGCTCGATGCGACGATAAATAACATTCTGGTACTTTTCAGCATGAAATATAATTATTTTGAAGGTACAAATAATATTTCATTTATGAAGAAACTTGATACGATTTTTGTTGGAGTTAGACTTTAATTTCATTTTCATTGTTGTATTATTGGCTTCTCATTAACGAATCGGAAGTTTTTATTCGTTAATCTTGAAATATTTTTCATCGTCGAATTCTTGCAATGAATAAATAACATTCTGGTACTTTTCAGCATGAAATATAATTATTTTGAAGGTACAAATAATATTTCATTTATGAAGTAAAGAATTGTTGGAGTTAGACAAATTTAATTTGATTTCCGTTGTATTTTTGAATTTTTATTCGTTATTCTTGAATTATTTCTGATCATCGAATTTTTGCAACGAATAAATAATATTCTGGTATTTTTCAGCGTGAAATATAATTATTTTGAAGGTACAAATAATATTTTATTCATGAAGTAAACAGTTGTCGTTAGACTTTAATTTAATTTTCATTGTTGTATTATTGACTTCTCATTCACGAATCGTAACATTTTATTCGTTATTCTTGAATTAAATTCGAACGTTTCGTTTTATCTTTGTGTCGAATCGAAGGTGGAGCAACGTCGCGAAAAATTCTCGGAATAGAAAGTGTCGGTCCGGACGATAAAAGCTGAATGAAAGCTCGAATGAATTTACATGGTAATGGGTGTTTTTCGAGCTCCGCGTATAATCCACGGTATCCGGATCTCGTCGCAAACAGTGAGGGATTGCGGATCGACTTTTGCTATCAGTCGCGATTCTTGAACTCGAAAATTTTGCCTCTCTTTCGACGGGATTTCTATTGCTCATTCCCCGCGTGTCGCGTGTTTAATCGATCGAAAGGGCTCGCACGGAGTAGATTCGATCCTCTTAATACCGGCTGCAGGCACGTTCGTTTGGCATAGATTGCGATATCTTCGATGTCTGTTTTGGCACCGTACCTTTGTGTTCCAAATTGATATTATGTCGTCGCTTTGTTTTGAGGTTCACCAACGCGTTTACGGAAGCAACTGGTCACGCGACTCCCGGACTCGCCATTTGCGAAATTGACAGAATTTATAGCGGCAGAGTTGATATTATTTAGTGTATAAATTATTGGGTCGGTCAAAATTACTGCTTTTGAACAGTGGAGCAATACACGTGAATCACTGATCTAAAAATATTTAAAAACCATTTTGTTCGGTGTAAAAGATTCCACAGAATTAAAATTTAAAAAATACGAAGAATAGTGCAAGATTAGAACTACAAAAATAATTCTGAATATTATATAGTTAGGGAACATGATATTTCTCTAACGTTCCAGACTAGAATATCTCTTTAACGAATACGTAATGGAATTGGTCCCTCGCTAGGCGGGTTCGATGGAAGTCAAAATCACAAACTCGATATTGATCCCGTCGGAAAGGACTCGCGAAACTGTGCTCGAAACTGGCTCGTAAGGGAACTCTCGAGGAAAGGGCGAGAATCGCGCGAGAAGATAAAGTTAGGTGGTAAGAGGAGAGCGAAAGAAGACCTTGGCTGCTAAGAGACGCGGCGTCGAGGCTGCTGAGAGATCGATCGGAGACGGTTCCTTGGTACCATTATGTACTGTCGCTTAGAATAGAATAGTAAAAGTCTCCTCGCCGACTCGATGACATTTTGGTACACGGAGGTCGGTTGACGAAAAAGCTACAAGGTCGGAAAACGTTATCGATACCGAATCGCCGAATTTAAACGTTACGAAAATAATCGAGTCGATCGACGACGACCGCTCTATCCGTCCGGCTATTTCCGGTGGTGATAAAAAAAAAAAAAATATTACGCTCGACGTTGCGCCAACGAGCGAAATTGCATCGGGAGTCCTTCGTCGATGCGATGCACTTGGCTCAACGATCGTATGCGTCATCGTGGACTGCTTGATAGAACGGTGACACGTATTAATCGACGCTTCTATCCGTGGACCCCAGTAGTCACGGCCGCTGTAATAAATTGGAAGCAATTATTCTTACGACGGCACCGAAGACTAAATGGCGAAGAAATGTCACGAGGCGTTACACAATCGGCGAGCAGAATTTCTTAGGCCGAAATGAATGACGAAAGCCATTGTCGATGAGAAATACCGTTTCGTGAATATTTGACGCTCAGTCGCGAAAAGAGAGCTGAATGTTAAAAAGTGCCCATTTTTAGCGAACAATTTGTGCAGAATTTGAAAAGTTAAAAATTGTTTCTAAAATGAATATTCGGAACAATAAAAGGCTAATACTAATATCAGTAATAAAATTCTGCGACGCAAAAGCTCGTCGTTACTGTGCAACGTTCCATGTTTAATACTCGACAGTTTGAAGCCGTTGGCAGCGGTTGTTCGACGTTTCCGCACAATAGTACAAATTGTTAATATCGAATCACGCGAATGCCAGCGAATATCGAAAAATTGAGTGGCATTTTAACGGCGGAAGAAAATCATTTTTCGATATTATCAGACTACACAAAACGTCCTGGAATCGGTTCGATGCTTTTACGCGTCCCGTTTGGTTCAGCGGTTTCAATATTTACAAAAACCACCGTGTCTTCCAGAAATAGATTTCCCGTTGGTGAGTGGAATGTCCGAAATAAAACATCGTCGCATGATGCCGTCTAATGGAGTATTATCCGATTGTAAAAAGATTTCCGCGTGTACATGGATATTACCGGGAAAACGTGGAAAAAATCGTTTATTCGCTTCTCTGTACGCGTAGATCAGAATATTAATGATCGCTCGTGTTAACGCGAATCCCATTAGCAGTGGTTACCGAAAAGGAAAAAAACGTTGATGGACATTATTATTAATATCTGTCGCGGTCGTTCGATAATGATATATAGTAATTGACACTTATCTCCACGCGTTTCAATTACAATTAACTCTATTACCGGCGTCAACAAACTGATCGATCGAACCTATGCGTTACCCGGTCCGATGCCCGTTCGGTTTCTCTATTTTTTCGCTGATAATTATTCGCAATTTCGTAGTTCGTTAAACCTTTGACGTCGTTTCGCGAAGTTTCGAAATGACCCTGCTTCCGTATTCTGTGTTGCACTTTCGACTCGAGCGTATTTCTTCGTGCCGGTAGAAGGAGAAAAGGCTAATTACCCTGACGTAGTTTTGCCTGCGTGGAAGTAATTTGTTAATGATCTGTAACGGAATGATTCGGTGAATGTCTCGCTGGCACATGGCGAGGCGAAAGTCTTTCAATCATTCCGCTGTCAAATGCTTCCTCGTTTCCCACAGTCTGCATCAACAATCAATTACGGGCCATATTTGCAAGGAGTTTCCACGGTTCAATGACTATTCGTTGCTCGGAGATAACTCGGGGAAGAAATTATTGGATCGAAAAGCAAGAAACGTTTCCTTCTCCCTATCATTATGTATTTACAAGATCGTAGAGTAAGTTACAATGGATTGTGAGTAGATGAACGACTCAAATTCTGAGATTTATACATGACGGGTGGACGAAGGGGATTTCCGTCGGTAAAACAGCATATTCCATCGGTAAAACAAAGCTCTCTGTTTTATCGATGATGTATACTGTTTTATCGATGGCACGGAACACCCTTCACCTCCTATATTATTCTTTTACTGTGTTTGATTATCTAGTCTGTAAGGATGTCAGGGATAGTCACAGGCGTATGGTCAAATTCAAATATTCGGACACTTTAAACGTAACTATATAAACTGTTGTTACAATATTATATTCAAGTTTATTATAATGATGAAAATGGAGTATGAGATTAGAAATTAACAATGTACCACATGTGTATTATCGTTTCGTTCACCTTCTAGATAGCAACTGACTATATTCGCACCTCAGGGGAGGGGGTTCTTCCCACTGACGGTTCATGGCTCGCGGTATCCGGTATTGACTAGTTATCGATTGTCTCACTATACTATTTAACATAAAAGAACATAAAAATAACATAAAACGTAAACGTAAAAAACCATAAGCGACTACTCTCGACCAGAGTTCGATGCAGAGTGACTTTCTGCTGCCGAAGTCGAACCCTCTCGATTCCTATTTACATATTGTAAACAAATGAGGCCATCGATACGGAGGACCCCTTTTATTTCATTCGAGGAGCAAACCCTCGAACGCATTTCGACCTAAACCTAAATACTTCACTCATCGAAGCCAACGATAACGATCCCACGGTCCAAACACATATATACTTCTTGCAAGTTTTTATAAAATTCAGCCTCTTTATATGCATTGCAGAGTATTCTCCTGAGAACGTTACGCCCAAATAAACAAAATGATTGCAGTTTTATTGCACGCATGTTGACGAGTAAAGAAGAAAGAGGGTATAAAATTTCGTTTTGAAAGATAGCAACGAAATAGAATTAAATCGAAAGAAAGGGACAGACATGAATTGCAAATTCTATTTTCCTATCGTCGTGCGGATACGATCGTCGAATCCTCCGTCGCCTTCAATGTAAATAACCGAAGTTTAAAGAGCTAACCCGGC